AGATGCTCGATTACTGGCATAACGTTTCCCACTGTAGAATAAAAGGTAACGTTATTTGATTTGATAAAATTTTGCATGAAAACAAATACCAGTATTCCAGATTACCTGGTTCGCTCTAGTCCTACAAGAACATCGAAATATATTTCTGTGTAGTTTTCCCATTGCCATTTTCTTCTGACTCTGGACCAGATTCTCCTTTATTGAAAAATTCACCAGCAAAGTTCCGTAGGTATTTTATACACCAATTGACGGCTGGCAAAAGAAACATCCTAGATAAGTGTGTGTCGAAATACACATAATTCACACATATCATCCTTAACAGAATGTGTTGTATAGATACAAAGTTGCTATTAGGCTTAACGCTATCCATGACGAAACTTTCATTAGAGGAATTTCTGCTATCGTTTTGAGTTGAGTATACGATTGATCGAAATTGTTCTGAAAAAAAAATGTACATATAGGCCTATAGAGTTGGAAACAAATTCAATTTTTTAAGTAATGATTAGTGATAATACTGTATATAGACACGAATTAAATGTCTTTTATCATTGATTGTAAATACAAAAAAAAAAAGTGACTTACCCAACCTCCTTGGATATTAATCCATTCCAAAAATTCCGTCTTCACGTATTTGTCTACATTCTGAATTACTTGATCAATCAAATCAGTTCTATTTCTATCTTTACATAAAACAGCTAACCTCGCTCCAAACACAAAAACCATAATTATACGGCCCCAGTTTATGATATTATCGCTCAACATTTCTGTTAAAATGTCTTTGAAAAACGTCTCGATATTCTCATTTGAATCAAGCAAAACTTCTCTAGTTAATTTATAAAGATGTTCATTGTGCATTTCATACATCTTTTCGCAATATTTTAAAAAATTACTCTTCATATCCTCTATAAATTCCATGTCATTGCCTAGTTTATATGCCACAAACGCTGAATTTATTTCTCGTGCAATTCGTTCAGTTTCCATCTTCATGTTTTTCCTCTAAAAACCAAAATGTTTCAACTTTGAACACGATCTTCGTGGATAGGTATTCCTAAAGTAAAGACTAAATTGAATGTAGTTGAAACTAATTTTATGTTCTTAGCCTAAATTTCTTATAAATTTATACACTAAGGGAAAAATGTATTACATGACGTTAGAAGCGGGTAATTCAAACCATAGAGTCA